ATTTCTCTTGGTGGTTACGCTTCATGTTAGAATGCGTTACTGTTTAAAACGTTGTCAAACTCGAAATACCTGTGCCATATTCAATCAACTTAGAACTGACACTCTTTTGAGTCTTACTCAAGTCAAGTGAATACTTCATAGGCAGTTGTGCGTTCTTTTTTCCTTATGACTGTAGTTACTATTGGTTGATGTTTTAACAGACACTACAAAAGAACATTATTATGTTGCTCACTCCATTTAAGAATAAAACGTGGAGTTACTTTAAGACATGTTTTACTAAAACCGGACGTAATCAACTAATTTTCCACTTTTAAACGATTTCATCCGTCACTTTATTACTATCAGGAGGTTCATCAAAAACTATAATCCTCTAACAAAACCTTGTTTTTACTGTTTGACAGCTTATATGCATTTATGAAGGTCGTGATCAACATTTTAGTGGTTCCTTTCAGTACTTATTGCTGAGGTAAAGAGATCTGCACTCTGAAAAATTGTCATGATCCAATTCTATCAAGCGGTGGGATGGTCGTGTATTTCCGGTCCACAGGCAACTCAACTTGTCTGATTAAGATCTTGAATATTGCATTAAGAAGAAAATAAATATATTTTGCTGGTTTTCATCGTGGTTTGTTGTGTAGCTCATTCGATCTTATTGATTATTCCGTATTTAAAGGATCTAGTGCCTTTTTACATGTTATCTGGGTTGAAATCTACAGTGAGTAGCTGGTTTGGAGGCATTCGATCCCAGATCTAAATCTGAGTAGGAAAGGGGTTCATTAATTAGGACCGTTCAGAAGTAAAAAGCCATGGCTCTCGCTACGTACTGGTCTCCGTCTATCATAAGTGACACACTCCCCTCCCCAAATTGACTGGAAGTCCCTGGGTGTGTCCATGTCCTGTAATCGATAAATGGACTGTGTTTTGTATACTCGAATTTCACTATCATTTATATCGGATGCTGTCAGTATTTTTGACATGGTGATGATATTTGGATGTTTTGTGTTGCTGTTTTACGTTGTCTTGTATAGTTGACTGCGAGCATTTCTAAAGAACGTTATTTCTGGAAAACACATTTCGTACCACATAGGGTGTCTCGGAGACCATTTCGCTTAGAATTTTGACCACAATAAAATAATTTAATGTAAGGTCTTACTCACTAACTTGAAAGTGCGTGTTTATTTCCATTTTCTCAGATCATCTTTTAATGATGTCGACCAGGCTTAGGTCAGATGATGAATAGATCTCTGATTCATTCTGTTCGAGCAGATGTTCTGGTTTCTGACGGAGAATCCAGAGAATCTCGAAGATGGCACGGGTATTCAGTGTTTGACAACTCTATAACCAGTAACACCTAATATGAAGCGTAACCACCAAGAGAAATCAAAAGACAGAAGCGAGGAGGTTCGAAGATATATTTGATAGGCTATCAATATATCGAGGATCGTCTGATCTAATCTGGCTAGCGATTGCAAGAGTTGCTGAGCACGGCGTTCCCACTCGTGATCTGATGCGGATGCATGACCGAGCGCCTTCAGCTAAGTGAGTTCATTAAAACTAATGTGGTCAGCATCCAATGTCGAAAACTTACAGAGCTATTTATTTTGGATATTTATTTACCGATACAATCTAAATGACGTAACAATAACCCAATAGAACGTTCTAGAAATTGACTCATGGAATTGAGTCACGGACTTATTTCAGACAGTTATACGGAAAGATTCAGTCATCACTTCAATACATAAATCAGGACCTTGTTGACTCCCATCGGACTACAGATCTGTTAGCCACACCAGCATCGTAGTTAAATACGGAAAAAAAAAATAGTCAGAAAGATCACAACGACATTTGTGAAAACCAACAACTTGTTAAACAGCGAACAACATAGTTTCAGAAATGGTTTGTCTTGCACAGCAAAATTCATAACAAGAGAGAGATGGATAAAGGCTCTAGACAATGGAAAATTAGTGGACGTTGTCTACATAGACTTTGTCAAAGCATTTGACATGGTGATAACTAACAGACTGTTATTGAAGCCAGAAAATCATGGCATTACTGGACCTTTCCTAAAGTGGCTTAAGAATTCCCTGGTAGGTCGTAGACAGAAAGTAAGAGTAAACTCAAAGTGCTCCACCTGTAGACTAAGTACTGGTCTCCAGTACTGTATGTAAATGATCTCCCAAGTATAATTGAATTTGTAATATTACCGTACGCTTATAATGTAAAATATGGCAAGTAATAACGGATGCATGCACACTCCATGCAGAGTTATATAGTGTGATTAGTTGACCTAAAGAATGGCTGATACCTATCAACGCTACAAGGTGTGTCTTCATGCACTTTAGAGATACAAAGATAAATAAGGACAGCATAGGTGAAGTGCCTGTACCCGCGGTCCGATTTCACAGGATCTTGAGGTGTCAGTTGGTCATGATCTTAAGACAATGACCCACCGCCGGGAGGTTGCAGATGAGGGGTTTAGAACCATCTAACCTATAAGACGGACATTCACTAAGTCAGATACTACCACGTTCACTACAACATACACAATCTTAGTGAGAACTAAGCTTGAGAACTGCATTCAGGCTGCAAGCCCCTATTTAAAAGGTGACTCGGATATCCTGCAAAATGTACAGAAGGCATCAACCCGTGCAATTCCAGAACTCCGTGGTTTACCATACAATGAACAACTTGAGAAGCTGAACCTTCTTTCTCTGTCCCATCGTAGATTAACAGGTGATCTGATCTTGATGTATAGAATATTAAGAAGTGATTTTGGACATAATGTATCCTCTCCTTTTCTTCCTACAGGATCGGGATATCTCAGAGGACATAGTAGGCAAGTAGAAAAGACAAGAACGAGCAAAATACCCGTAGCATACAGGTTTTTACATCGAGTCATCAATCCTTGGAACTGGTTACCCACAGTAGTGGTGTTCGCACCTTCAATCGACTCATTTAAGAGAAGGATGGACACTCGTAGAAGCATACTAGAAAAGGAATAACATAGGCTGTAGGTCTTTTGTCCTTACTACACAAATCTGTATCTGAATCTGAATGGCCGCAACATTTGAATGCTGACGTTTAAACGCTTCGGCAGCGCTCCAGGGGTATCGCGACTTGTTTTTGCGCTACTTTTTCATTTCTGCTTTGTGCACAACAAAATTTCGAAATTGTTTATGAATAAATATGAAAGTTTATTTTCCGTTTTCATAATTAGGTGAAAAGGGGTTTTTTATTTTGCGTTACATAGTATCACGAAGTCCTTGAAAATTCATTAATCAGGTGCTGCTATAATAGTTTTTCGTGTTTGCATCGCAGACTAGCAATTATTTCTACTTAGATATACACTGATGGTAGACAAATCTTTTATTTTTATGTGAAATAGCATGATTTAGACATATATCATACGTTTTCTATATTTGGAAAAGGAGAGTAATAATAATAGAATAATAATAATAAATCAGGTTCTGTGTAATTGAGAAGAATATTGAATTGAGTTTAAAGAAGGAAAGGAAGAAAATAAGGGAATAGAAATAAAGGAGACGTGAAATACGCAGATAGTTTAATAGGCGTGTTTACGAACACAGAACAAGAATAAATGACTATGTATGTTTCGTCAAATTAGTAACAGAAATAAACTAGAAAATAATTAAGAAAAAATGACTTATTATTGCAGTAAGATATGACGCTGGAATAAATGGTTGTGCAGTCATAGTTTGGAGTGATGTTATGAAAGTCACTTCTAAGTGAAAAGGATAACGAAATATCAGTATGTATGGGTCATATATACATAATGAAAACAAAAAAATGAGAAGTTAATTTCTGTGTAACACAAGTTATTGTCTTAATTACAAACTTCGTAATGCTAAGAAAAAATCAAGAACATAATCAGCTTGTCGATAATTAATTAAACCAGTGAGATACAAGAAAAGACGATAAACCCCGATTGCTATAAGTAATAAAGTCATGGGCAGGAATTTCACACTGAGGATGTATACTTATTGATCACACAGATTTACCGGTAACCCTAACCTACGATGGATTAGACTGGCACTTCATGCTATTTCTCAGTATGCAACCTTTGTGTTTAATATTCGATACTGAGATTATTTTATTTGAACACATAGATATTGGTACAACAGTGCGCCAATATATATGAGCCACACAAAACAATGAGAATTCGAAGAGAAAAAAAAACAGAAAAATAACGAAGAGTTTCGTGTAAGGTAGTTTAGTAATAATAATAGTAATAATGAGGAAATGGAAAGGTACAATCAGAAGAAATCTTTCAGTTAAGGGGGACACAACCACTTTTTATGAAGAAAGTAAAAGAAGGTCACAGCAGGATCGCCACTGGCTTCTATTCTAAGCCATATCTGATAACGTCTCTAGTCAATAGGCTCATAGCCTCCTGTATTAGTAACGTTTTATTTGCACAGCAAAACATGGAAAGCCAATGTGCGTTAGACTTCGAACATCTTTTGTATGCGGTGGGACTTGAACGGGTGTACATTTTATGGAACCACTTTTTGCGTTCACCGCACTGCATTACTTCCTCCATAGGGAACAAACAGTTTGTCTGTCCACATTTATGAGTACTATCAACCATTTTGATCAAATTAAAGTGTAAAACACAATATGATCACAATATAAACACGTGTCAGTCAGTGAGTAAAAAGGTACCACAAGACAAACTTTAGCAAGATTTTGAACCTTAATTAAAGTACTTTAATATGTAGACCAAGGATAATCACAACAAATCAAATTCACAGCCCTTTTGAAACACGCGCGGAGCTACTTTTCCCCCCTCTATTATAGTTAACATACCTATGTTCCTGCCAGAAGATATTGATGTTCCACTGCTACTATACACAGAAGCCCGTTAAGTGGAATGTTCTTCTATTCCGTCCACAATCATTTGAACTATTTGAAGATTTCAGGTACTAATGTTGCCAAATTCGAATTTGGCGTTGCTCAGTAACTTCCGGAAATAGCTAAGTATGGATTTCTTCAAACGTTCCAAGTTCGACAAGCTGATTGGTAAGTGATACTGTTAATAAAATAAAGATTCTTGAATTTATAGAGAAGGCGACCAGTGAAATGCTGATTGAATCAGACATTGAGAGTATCATTGCAGTTTGCGATAACGTGCGTAGTCAAGAGATTTCGTAGGTTAATCCTTCACGTCATTACAATCTAATGAAGGCCTAAATATGCGGTTCAATGTTTGAAGAAACGTCTTCAGTGTGACAACCCAAACGTCGTTCTACACTCATTTGATGTAATCTCTTTCTTATAAACTTACACTGTAGGTGCTTGAGTCATTAATGAAGAACTGTGGTACACCTGTTCATGAAGAAGTTTGCAGCACTGACTTTATGCAGCAGCTTGTTGGGATGGTTGATGTATGTTATTTGATAGACTTTGACGCTTTTTAGACATCCCCAGACGTTCGTGCAAAGCTTCTAGAGTGTCTTCAAAACTGGGCTTATGTTTTTCGTGATAAGCCTGGCTACGTTGCTGTTATAGATGCTTATGAGAACCTTAAAAACGCTGGTTACATTTTTCCGGAGTTCTCAGAGAGTGCTGCTATGTTCAGTGTAGTTTGTGCTCCAAGTTGGAAGGAAGGAAATGCATGCCATCGATGCAAGTCCGCATTTACTACGTTCAGGCGTAAAGTAGGGGTTTATTCTATTTTTACTAAAAGCTTAAAGTTTTATATCGGTGTGTTGTCACAGTAATACTCCAGTCTCCATTAACTTGATCTGATTGATTAGTATAAAGGTCTTTTATCATGCGTTACTGGAAGTGCATATAAATATCGCTTGTTTACCAGTAAACTACATCTTATGTAGTATTCTTATATCTTATCGGTAAAATGGCTATTTTTATTGAGTTATACGTCATTATTGGTCAGTGTAGGGGAACTTATTGAAGTCCGATAACTGACTCAAACAGGTAATTTTCGCGGCGCCAACTGCAATGTAAAAAAATCTGCATATCTTTATCGACGCTTTTGACTATCAAGTCACTTGATTGAAACATGCTTTTCAATTAGATGGCATGTTTTTCGGGTTTTAAGTCAATTTTGTGCACTTGTGAGGAGCGTTTGTATGCTGACTCAGTTTCCTATATAAACTTTCGGGTTCGAAATATCCGTAACTATGCATATGCTTGACGTAAAATCCAATATTGTCCAAGACATATTTTCATAACCAAGTGAGAGGTTTCATATATTGTGCTTGTGGATGCCAACAAACTGAAATGTTATATAACAGTGCGTGACCACCTATTATCTTCAGTAGATAACTGCCTCACACCAAATACGGCTAAACTAAACAGGTGAGGAGTAGTATGGGACGACAAAAAACCAACGAACAGTCCAAAGCTTATTGTTCATTAGTGCTATCGTCTGTTTTAGTATGGTAACTAGAATAACTTGGACTAATTATTTCTAATAGCACCATAGGTCGGTAATATATTATCAACTAAAATTTGACTTGACAGCCTTCAAGGACCATCATTATTTATCAAACATTTCCAATCAAATCGATTGTATCATACAGTCTGTAGTACAAATCAGTAGCAGTTTCTTCTAATTCTTTTTTAGGTGCTAGAAAGTAGAAAATCCTACTGTAATCGTTACAGTGAACTTAACGTGAAAAGCTTATTTCATGGTGTCAGAATCAAGTTAGAGATGAGCGAATTTGGGGGATGCAGTCGTAACACGAATATTATAGATGCACTATACATCCTTACTTACTTACGCCTGTTACAACCATTGAGCATAGGTTGCCGACCAGCATTCTCCAATCCACTCTGTCCTAGGCCTTCCTTTCTATTTCTACCCAATTTTGTTCATTCTTCTCATGTCTGTCTCCGTTTCTCAGCGTAATGTGTTCTTTGGTCTTCCTCTTCTCCTTTGGCCTTGAGGATTCCAAGTGAGAGCTTGCCTTATGACGCGGTTGGGTGCTTTCCTCAGTGTGTGTCCTATTCACTTCCAGCGCTTCTTCCTGATTACTTCCCCCGCTGGAATCTGGTTTGTTCCCTTTCTCCGTAAGTTGTTGCTGATAGTGTCTAGCCAACGGATCCGAAGTATTTTTCGTAGACAGCTGTTAATAAACACTTGTATCTTCTGGTTGATGACTTCCTTAGTTCTCCAAGTTTCCGCCGCATACAGTAGAACAGTCTTGACATTTGTATTGAAAATTCTGACCTTGGTGTTGGTTGACAACTGTTTTGAGTTCTAGATGTTCTTCAGTTGTAAGTATGCTACTCTTGCTTTGCCGATTCGCTCCTTCACATCTGCATCCTTCAGAGTTTCTCCGTCATGTGTGATTCGATTAGTGCATGTTGTGTTGTATCGAAGAATCTTGCTTTTCCCCTTGTATACGTGGAGACCTACAGCTGCTGAAGCTGCTGCTACACTGGTCGTCTCCTGCACTTGTTGTTGCGTGTGCAATAGAAGAGCCAGATCATCTGTGAAGTCTAGATCGTCTAGCCGCATCTCAGCTGTACATTGTATCCCGTGCTTCGCCCCAGATGTTGACGTTTTCATAATCCAGTCAATCACCAGGAGAAAGAGAAAGGGTGAGAGTAATCAATCTTGCCTGACACAGTTTAACCCATCATAGGAATTCCGTATGATATTGACAATCTTCTGAGGCACGCCGTAGTGTCGAAGAAGCCTTTTTAGTGTTGTCGTGCCCACGCTATTAAATGCTTTCTTGTAGTCAATGGGATTGATGTAGAGTGATGAATTCCATTCACTTGATTGTTCCATAATGATCCGTGGTGTTGCGATTTGGTCAGTACACGGTCGATCCTTACGGAATCCAGCCTGTCGGTCTCGAAATTGGGCGTCTACGGAGTGCTTCATTCTGCATAACAATACTCTGTTGAAGACTCATGGTATTGAGAGAAGAGTGATGCCTTTGTAGTTCTCACACTTAGTAAGATCGCCTTTCTTTGGTATCTTGATCAGATGTCCTTTCCATGCTACTGGTACTTGTTCTTCATCCCAAATCTTGCTGAAGGGAATGTGGAGCATGTTTGCAGTTAATGGTACATTTGCTTCCAGTGCCTCTACTGGAATGTTGTCTGGTCTCGCTGCTTTGCCGCTGTGGTTGAGTCACCGCCTATAGTCAACTCTTTTCTAAACTGGTTATATCAAGCGGTGTTAGTCAAGGAAAACCAAAATCACCATTTTTGTGTGCCTTTATCATAAGGATCAGTCAGTCAGTAACAATGTAGAACTTCGTACGTACGTACATCAGTTCGAGTTGCCACACCTTTTAGGGATAACTTTCTTCGTTTGACTTTCCAAATATAAGTCTCTTACTAGGTGATTCATTCATCAACTTGAAACACGCAAACGACATAGTCATATATCCTTGAGTTCCTCATCCTATAAGCGCTTTCCGCGCTTCCCCGTAGGGCATCAGTGCAACATTTTGTTTGTATGAGGCTATTTCTTCTGCCCTGGTACGGCCGAGAGTGGGGAGAGTCCGCTCTCCCTCTCGAAATACTCTCACACGGCCACGCGTATATAGCCTCTGCCAGGGAAGTCCTACTCACTGCCTTCTCGTGGCGGGGGTGTTGTTTACAAAAATGAGAAGACGAAAAGCGAATGTCCGGCGCTTTAACCGGATTCCAAACCAATGGTGCACATGGGCTCCAGTATCCTGCGGGAACAAATGGCGAATGAACCAATTGTTGGTCACCGGCTTCCATGGGACTGCATCTCCTTACGATGCTCCACTGCCTTGTGGATCAGACCTTCAGGTCGAAGGCTCGGGGTGTGGCCCCCTAAGAAAACCACCTGCTTCGGTTTGGGCACCCGGGCAGTATCACAGCCTTCACACATATCGAATGAGATTTGTGTGGCGCATATGTATTTGGTGCCTCTTTGTACCATTATCTGTGTTGAAATAAATAAATAAATAACATTTCTTCTGCATAACTAGAACACAGCACAAGCTCTCGCGAAGCTGACTGTTTTTGTTTACTTTGAGTCCAATGGGTATCACTAATTATAAGCCCTGCCAGTTTGTATTATCTTATTTCCACAGCCTTTTGAGTGGTTTTCACACTGTCCGAATATTGCATGTATCTATATTAATTGTTACTCTGGTTCTCCGATTTCCAAAGAATCTTGACTTTCAACATGAGATGTTATAACCTTTCTAAATAAATACCCTTCAAAACCTGGGGAGGAAGTTTAAATGTTTTAAATCTTTTTTATGATAGTCGTTTTTTCAGCAAGGTTCTTTTCTGCGGGATGAGGTTGCTTACTTCATGCTTAACCCTCGTTCTTTATTCGGCTTTGGTATGAGCAGTAATCCTGAAAGGCTGCAGACAGAGCTATCATGGGATAAGTTCCTCTCCCACGAAATGTTAGTTATAGCCCCACAACTTGTCTGTATCAATGTCCAGTTTAAACATAGAGAGTGAATTAGATCACATCCACTACCTCGCTTGTCTTGGAAGTGTCATTAGCCATATTAGGTTGGTGGCTAACGATATCTCGACACGGAAACATAAAGCTTCCTTCAAGGCTCTGGGGATACTTTTCAGCATTCACCTTTGTATTATGGCCTATGTAAGTGATGAAAGTTCACTGGCCTCTATTGTTTAATCATAATTCTCCGGGAAGCATACCTTGTGTAATCCTGAGGTTTGGCTTAATTTACTAGATTACGATAAAAAATTGGCTGATAAGACTAAAAACTTTCATCGCTTTATTTTGTGTTTGTTTTACTCATTTAGTCAAGTTTTTTCTAATATCTAAATATCAATAACAATACAAACACATACATTAAAGTGTAAGAATCTGAATTACACATTATGTTGATCACTTGAGCTTGATTCTAAAATGTCTAGATAACTGGATGTCAATAAAAGCATAATTCATTGTGATATTCATGCCGAAAAATTACAGACTTACTACATATTGGTTCATAAGTTTCAGATCTACGATTTTAAATGATAGTTATGGCCTTATATATTGAATCCTTCACTTATATTTGCTTTTGGTTCAGAAAATTGTCAGTTTAGTCATTTTTTTTACGGTAGTTGATTTAATAAACTCGATACCTTACCGGTAGCTTAATTGTTAAGTTGTTATACATCCATCTACTAGGTCTCGATTTTGAACGCCGATCAGTCTACTTCCATTCGGGAAGCTAGATATTCTTAAATCTGACAAATCCATTTTCCCTGTAGATCCCTCATGGCTTTTTTATTTAGTATGTCCCCTTGTGTACTTTTTTATGTTATGTTTTCATCTTAGTATATATCGTATATATCGTTACCTTAATTTTCTCCAGCATCACTGTCGTAAGTGTGGTCAAGTGTTTTGTGGTGAGTGTACCTCGTCACGCGCCATTCTGCCTGAATTCGGCATTGAGAAGGAAGTGCGTGTTTGTGATTTGTGCTTTGAATCAATCAACAGGTAATTGTTCATAAACATGTCATTCTGTAGACATTATGATTTTATTTATTATATCAATTATTGATCGTTGACAGTAACGCGTTCCTGTATATTTATATATTCACTTGAGTTGCAGTAATATTTGCCAAAACTGCTGAAGCGAATGGTGAATTTATTTTCATTTTCCTTACTACGATATACTTTGCAATAATCTTCCTTGCTTTTTCTGCTTATATCGACCTGTAAGAATAATAAACGTTGTATTTACTGTTTTCCAAAGGGTCATCCGTTTCTAAAACACATTTCTGCAACATTGATGAAAGTTACTTTTATAAGTAACAAAACCATTCAGCAGTAGAAGTCAGTCAGCTACAACGTAGGACCGAATTTATAACCACAATTGGTGTCTGGCAAGGTTGTCCACTATCTCCATTTCTGTTTAATTTCATCATAGACCTACTGCTGGAAATAACGTTCTTGTCCAATGAATTATCAGGAGTTGATCTCCTACCAGAAGGTACACCTATTGCCTAAGAATAGGCTGATGACATAATCCTGTTTTGTAAAGACGCTGATAAAATGCAGTCTTCTGGTAGAAATAAGCAAAATGCCAGGTTGTTTGGGATGTGTTTCTCTCCCTGAGATGGTTGGATCAAGTATTGCGCATACCCAACAACCGATTACTACGACTCATAATGCTGACTAGTGTTGGCGACGGATGGAAGTTAGAGGCAGCCAAACCAAAATGTGGTATCAGTCCATAAAGTCACTAAATTCTTATCTAAGTCATGTTGGTAGATGCAGACTACTTGGTTGAGATCCGCATGACTATCGTAACCAACGGTTAATGACTGTGGGTGACATGGCTCAGAATCGATCACAAGGGCATAGGTGTATGCACTCTTTGTCTTTCCTTAAACCGTGAGATAGAAATTCCTTTTCCCTTTTTTTCTACCAACTAATTCTTTCTTCCTGTATTATATCCTTATACGCAATCTTTCTTTTATACATTACTACCATTGAAGTGACTATTTCTATGGATTTGGTGTTTATCTTGTGCTAATTAGGCAAGGTAACTTGGAGTGATGCATATATATGCCTGGTCCTACGTTCTAGATGACTGACTAACAAGTTATTATTATTACTATTACTGTCGGTAGTATTGCTAGTAGCATATGCTGGCATATACATTTTCGCAATGTATTTTAACATAATATTTTCGTTGTTGTTTCTGTTTTGTAAGAGGATTGTCTTCTGCTTCAAATAACTCTGAAGATAAAAGGTCTGTGGAGAGGGAGAATCAGGTAATCTTTTTTCATTTAAGATTAGCGATTCCATGCTTTTGAATATTTTTTTGCACTTAAATATCAAGTGTTGGTATTCCAAGTTCAGTCCTAGCTAATCCGGTTTTTGCACCTACACAGTCATTAGCACTACATTTTCTACGACTTGTTTTTTGTCAAGTAGGATAGACTGTAGGTTGAAGTCGGGTCCTGAGCGTCACTTAATAATGAAGAGATCCTTGTAAAAACTTTATTTAAGTAACAGCTGATCCCTTCTTTTTTGGTTTGGATTCTCATATTTATGTCTACAAATGTTTTTTTGTTGGCAGATCAGTTGATTATCAAACAGCATTTCAAAGTCTTTACATATGTTGGCGTAATGGTATTTTTTCCTTTTTGTCACTCAGAAATAGTATATGATACTGTTTAAATAAACATTCAGCGTCTCATTCAAATAACCCTGTCTTAAAAGTCTCACATAATAGTATAGGCAACGGTTGAAGTGTAAGAAAAGATACAGCGAAACATACTTTCTTTACTTTTACACTCACTCTATCTTTTCTATTACCTTTAGGTAGATTCATCAGTTAAAATCTATTTTCGTCATTGATTATTTTCAGAGATTTTCTGTGGCTTGATTTTTTAATTGAAATGCTTACTATATTTGTGTTATGATTTAAACACCTTAATAACAATCTATTTTGGAAATATGTCGGTCTTTTGTGCCAAGTAATGCAGTATGAAGACAGACTAAGTGTATGTTATTAAAGTTGATTATATACTATGAAACAGACCAAGTAGTTCTTGTTATCTTCTATGTTTTACTGTTCAGCCATATGCTAAAATAAAAAAAAACTGTAATTGGAGTTAATCGTGTCTAGAAAAAATCGGAATTTGTGAGAATAGTGACCCATACTTATCTGGTAAATTTAGTACTGGTAAAACCAATGAAATAATTATGATTGATATCAAAGCTCAGAAAACACTCCGCTTCTCTTTCGGAACTAATAATCGTATATCTTGAGTTTCAGGCTTTAAGAATATTAGTTGAAATAGAAACTGATTACTGCAAAAAGTTCACTTTCATTTTCTTCTAAATATTATAACTCGTTTATCCGTGTACTTTTATATCCCATTTCAATCATTTTTAATTGTCTATACAACATAGGATTGAATAGAAGCTGTTACTCTTATACGAGCATCTAATTTTTGTTTGTCCTCAGGTTTGTACCAGTTACTATTTATTGCCATTTTTCTAAAATACTTTACTTCGAAACAAGCTGTATTCATTACTCAGTGATTTATAGAATGTAACTTTGTCCCAACTCCCAGCTTCGACGTGAGAAAGAGCGACAACTGGAACAGCAAGAAAACGAGGATCTCGAATTGGCTTTAGCCTTAAGTGCTAGCGAAGCAGAGTCGAATCAGAGGAATGTAAGTCCGTATATTGTATTTTACTCTATTTCCTTCCTCACTATATTTGGTATTTAATGAGTAATCCGGATGAAATAAAAACTGTTATAGACATTTCATTTCTCTCCGCGATTATGTGTGGCAGTCAAAACCGCTCACTTCATTAAATTGTTTTTATAATCCTAACCTTGGTTCAATGAGTCCTACAGTATTTATTCTCTGACTACGACGCAATCATTTGTTTTATGTCAAATTAACTTACTTTTAACAAGCAATTTTTTATTTGTTTGTTCCGTTTTTATTATTTCGCCTGATAATTATTAGAATTTTGAAGTTTTTGAAAGCTCAGTAACTTTATGGCTGATTATATATCGTAGTGATGTAATCTATAGACCTGGTTTCAAGTCATAAATAATGTTGACGATCACATTAATAATAATCCTCGTTATGACTCTGGGCTTTCATCGAGCGAATATGAAATGAAAGTTATATAATTCGTGTCATTAGCCTGAAATATTTCCATTCTGATAATATAATTTGTATATTTTAAAACCATTGGCCCGGTGTAACGATGCGATTAAAATATTTGGTGAAAATTAACTTATTGTACGGATTAAATTTGTTAAACATGTATAGTATCAGGTTTATGATTTAATGTACAACTCTCAACATCTTGACCAGCTAGAACAGTTGCTCTTGGAGATTAGTTCTTGCAAAAATACTGTTCATGAGCATGTAATATGAGTGTTAGAAAAAAGTTCGTCAATGTGTGAATCCTCTGATTTGAAACGATAGAGCTTCTATCACTTCAAATATATCATTAACTGCATCTCGTGTGAAGGTATCCAATCAATTTCGACAAATTTTTCTTCCAATCTCATTCAATGAAACATGTTGTGGTATGTTAAATCCGCACACTGAATTATGTATATTAAGGACGAAAATTCTATTTTGTCAATATTAAATTTTTCTATATCATTTGTAATAAAGAATCAAATAAAGTCTACTATCAATGACAATAAACCTTCACCATCATCAGCATCGCCAACAGTCGCTCACCTTCTCCCAGTTCTCGATACAAGTGAAATGGATCCCGAGTTAGCGCAATATTTATCTAAACATTATCAGAGAGCTAATCCATCATCTACTCAGGATGGCATATATCAAGAAAATTCTCAAGAACATCTCATGCTTCAACAGTCTACCACTCAGCCTAGCGCACCTATATATGCTTCCAGTACACCATCAGATAATGGTACGATTTCTATTAACACTCTCAAGTCCGGAGTGAATAGTGATTTTAATGTGCCAGGGAAAAGTCGATCCAGTGAGATAGTAAGTTTATTTTTAGAAAATTAATTAAACAAAAAAATGTACTCAGTTCATTAACTTCATAAACATACAAAAGGAAATACAAGTCCTAATAACCTTTATTCTTTTTTCTACAACTTCGTAAGTCACTACAATTTCTCGTTCACCGTTTAAGCAACACTAAAGTTAGTTTGTAGCTTTAGGTACTACTAGATATACTACCTTTCACGTTGTGAAAAACCGAGAAGTAGCAACTACACCAAACTTCTAACAGCACCCAGGATCATCTTGTTCATGATCAAATCTCTCTCTTACTTCTTAATATTTCTTCTCCCCACAACTAACCCTCATTACGTATCTTTATCATCATGAACCACCAATGCTAACCATTCAAGTCCACTCAATGCCGTTCTTAGTCTCTTGAAACCGCGCTCTATACTACATGTTAGAGCTTTGAACATTCGAATCCAGTGTCAGATAGAACAACTGGTTTCCTTAGCTTAGGCTCCATAATTCCACGCTATCAATGTATGTTTTCTCCAAGACGTGCATACAGAGTCCAAGTATGGTCGTTCACTTTACATCATCTAGTGAATGTCAAGAACCAACTCGATTTACTTTCCGTATACCTGGAGACCCTACTGCTACTGCCCATCGCCTCGCTTTTGTAGGTATAGCATTAAATTCAAAAGCAGAACAGGTTCTATTAGTTTGAATTCAAATAGACAGTCGCTTGTGCCCTGTCCGAGTAAAAGGGACAATAAAAAATGAAGAAGATAGGGACGCAAACCGCTACCTCTTCATCGTCTCTGCCCACATACCTACTGGTTACAGTTTGAATCAAATAAAAGATGAATTTTATAAAAAGCTTTCCACCCTCTTTTAAAAAGATAATGACTGATGTTTAGTGTTATCGACAAGTGATTTTAGTACCTTAGTAGGTAGACTAAACAAAACTGAGAGGCTATTATGTAAATCTTACTGTGTCGCGCTTCAGAAAACAGACAATAACAACAGTCTTCTGCAACTACGCTCAGATAACTGTTTATTTCTAACAAGCACCATAAGAACAAACGTCGTCCGACAAAATGACATCCACAATCGAATCAACCATGGGCTCTAATAGATCACATTGTCACTAACCATTGTTGAAGAGGTTCGATAGAAGACTGGCACTCATTCTAGAACACATATTTGGACTCAGTATGAACATGTATTGGTCTGCGTTTTACTAGATGTAGGAACGTTCAACTTATTGATAAAAAAGTCAGATATATTTCAGGAACAACTAGAGAAGTAGTTAGTCAATCAGGCAAGTTATATCTACCCCGAGGTAACTTGATATGATATCTAAACAACAGTGCTATCTACCGGTAATGTAAATCTAAAGCTTAAAAAATAAGTAGATTTCTGTAGCGTCTATTAAACAGATAGATACTCGGAAACTTACCCCATTTGGCTCCGAATACGATGAAGAGGAAATTCAAAAGCAGACTGGTAGAAATCTTACTCAATGAACGTGAGTAGTGTTGGACGGCGAAAACAAAAGGGACAGCAATGGGAGAGGTAATAGGTAACAGTATACAACTATTCAGACTTATCAAGGAGACAGGTATTAAAAATCCGGCTGTTAGTGAGACTATGTCGGAAAAAGACAAGGCTATTATTAGCCCTCAGTCCAGGAAACTGGTCTGATAGTGAGAATGCTTTAGGGAACATTTAACTGGCCCCCAATTAACCTTGATATAATTTTCGACGTCCGACAATAGTTGTATTTCTTGACCTAAAGGTGGCGTTCGACTCCATTGATCTTAAGGGTCTATGACAGTCTGTCATTGAAGGACGTATCAAAGAAGTACATCAATCTTTTACAAACTCTATGTTCAAACGTCAGTGAGTCAGAGCTTAAGGTGAATTGTCCTCTCGCCCTATTTTTATTAGACTTTGTCGTATACACGCTTTCAGGGATAACAGTTTCATCGACGGAATTTTCAGGGATCGGTCTTTTGTTAGGATATGCACTTGTTGATTGTTATATTTTACTGTAGTTAATTGAAGGTTAATTAACTGATTCAAACTATCTGTTTCAGAATTCAGCTAATCCTAACGGTAAGACTGACCTCAACACATCGGAAATTCCAGATCTAACTAATCCAAAACAAGAAGAGTTCCTTGATGCTCTACGTGGTAGTATCGAATTTTTCGTAAATCGCTTGCAGAGCAATAGTCAAAGAGGACGTAATATTTCAAGTGATACAACGGTTCAAACATTATTTTTGACACTAAATAAAATGCATCCACAATTAATGGACTACAAACACTACATGGAGGAACGCCGAGGTGAATGTTTTAATATGTTCAAGTTTTTCATTTGTGTTTGGTAACCTATCGTAAGAGATATTATATTTGTAACCGGAATTAGTTTACAAATAACTACATAATTAGTTTTATTTATTATTTTAACACAAAGATTGGTGCAAAAGGTAACCAACATATATATGCCCCACACAAATAATTGAATTTATGTATAGACTGGGATACTGTCCTGGTAGACAAAATGAAGGAGGTGCTCTTCTCATAGTACCACTCCCCGAATTTTTAACCCAGAGGTTTAATCGTCAGTCAGTCAGTAACAACGTAGAACTTCGTACGTACGTACATCAGTTCGAGTTGCCACACCACCTTAACACAGAGATGCAGTTGTCGATTCTAATCCCGTAGTGGTAGAGGTAGCAAGAGTGTAAGCAGTGATCGGAAACATTAGGGTTTGAAGATGTTATTCACGGAGTATAATCCAGTGAAATAAATTTGGGAAGAAAATAAAGGACATGAAGAATTCAGAAGATTAGAATTTGGGAGAACACAAAGAGTGGATGCACCTGCGCCATTGCAAACGATTTTGAGCCATGTCATTCAGGGTCTCTAACGATCGGTTGCTATCATCTCGCGGTCCCCAACCAGGTAGTCTATACCTATCAACATGACTCAGACCACTTGTCAGTGACTTCATGGACTTGTGCCATGTTTTGGTCTGGCCGCCCCTAGCTTTCTTCCAATCTACTCCTACACCAGAAAACATCGCACGTCGAGGCAGTCGGTCGTTGGGCATACGTAACACGTGTCCCAGCCATCTCAACTGATGAAGTTTCACCACTTCATCAATTGATTTTCCATCCTTACCTAGTACCCGTTTCCCAACAACCGCATTACTTACTCGATGGTCCCAGGATATATGAGCAATATTTCGAAGACACCTATGATCGAATACTAATAACCTACGAATATCCTCTACTCTTACCGGCCATGTTTCACTGCCGTAAAGTAGTACGGGACGAACTGCTGCGCAGTAAACCCGTCCTTTGGTTGATAGACGGATATCTCGCCTACGCCATAAATGACGCAAGTTAGCAAAAGCTAGTCGAGCCTTCTGTATCCGTGCTGAGATTTCGTCGCACACCAGACCACAAGGGCTGATGAGACTTCCAAGATAAGTGAAGCGGTCGACACGCTCAATTACTTCACTCCCTATCATTAGTTCGGGTGTCAATGCAACCCAGTCCTGAAGCAACATTTTGCATTTCGAGGTAGAGAATCGCATCCCGAGCATGCTTGCATTGTTGCTTAGAGTGGCCAGAAGACTCTGCATTTTGTCAGCGTCTTCGCCAAATAAAACTATGTCATCAGCATATTCTAAGTCAACAAGTGAACCTCCTGGTAGTTCAACCCCTGGAAATTTAGATGAGGAAAGTGTCATCTCTAAAAGTACGTCAATGACAAAGTTGAGCAAGAATGGAGAGAGTGGACAGCCCTGACGTACACCACTTGAGGTAATCAATTCTGATGACAGTTCGCCATAAGCTCTCACTCTGCCAGTTGTGTTCGAGTAGAGAGCCTGAATAAGGTTAATGTACTTCTTTGGTACTCCTTTCAGTGACAAACACTGCCATAGAACCTCACGATCAACAGAGTCGAATGCCGCCTTAAGGTCGAGAAATACTACAATTGTGAGGCGTCTAAACGTGTGTCTGTGTTCTAGAACCTGACGTAGTGTGAATATTTAGTCTATACAACCACGTCCAGGTCGAAAACCGGCCTGATTTTCTCTAGTCTGCTCTTCACGAGCTTTGATTAGACGTCGAAGTATTATTGAGGCTAATATTTTAGACAGTATATTTGTCAAACTGATTCCTGTGATTGTCACAAGAGGACTTTTGTCCTTTCTTATAGATTGGCACAATCAATGATTGAGACCAGTCAGATGGGATTACGTCCAGTTCCCAAATTCTACCTAAAACCTCGGTTAATCTCATTGCTAATACTGGACCACCATCCTTAAAAATCTCAGGAGTAAATCTGTCAGGGCCTGCTGCTCTCCCTCGCTTCAGATTTCCTATGGCTTTTTCAACTTCGTAAAGAGACGGAGGACTTACATTAACTTGCCATTCAGGTTGACTAGAGATCGTGGGAAACCGAAGTGTGGCTGAAGGCCAGTTGAACTGATCCCTGAAGTGTTCTGCCCATCGATCCAATCTCCTGGATTGAGAGTGTATAATATGTCCATCTTTCTCTGAGATTGTTTCGCTAACGGTCGGGTTCCTAATTCCGGTTTCCTTAACGAGTCTGAACAATTGTCTTCTATTACCTATTGCCGCTGCTTTTCCATCTCTCTTGCTTTCGCTACCCACCACCGTTCGCGATCATTGCGTAAACTTCTTGTCAGTTTGCGCTAAAGCTGACTCCGCTCTTCACTATGTTCAGAGCCAGGTGGAATGAGTTTCCGAGCATCTATCAGTGCGATACATGCTGCTGAGATCCAGTGTCGTTCCCTAACCTTACGGGTTACCGTACTAGCAGATATCACTGCTGTTTCCACAGCTTTTCGGATATCATTTCATGCTGCATCGGGGTGGGCATCACATATATGGCTGCCTAACTGTTTTCCTATTTGTTCCTAGTTATTCCTGAAATATACTCTTAGCTTGACTATCATTAAGTAGGGTCCTAAGAGGTTTACTTGCAGCGTCTTTCCTACGTCCAGTAAGACGCAGACAGATACGCGCTCGTGCTAGAGCATGATCTGAATCTAAGCATGTGCTCCAGAATGAGCGACAGTCTTCTATCGAGCCCCTCCATCGGTGGCTGATAGCGATGTGATCTATTTGGGTCCAATGTTGGGACGAATTAGGGGGTCGCCATGTCAAAAGATGTTTTTCCTTATGCTTAAAGTTAGTATTTGCAAGAAAGAGGCGGTTTTCCTAGCATAGCTGCAACAGACGGTCGCCATTATCTGTTCTTTGAGCCATGATGCTATAAGATCCACCTAGGTGTCTTTCCCTATCGCTTAGTTTACCTACTTGAGCATTAAAGCCACCGGCCAATATTACTACATCAGAGCGCCTAGCTTTTCGGAGAAGGTCGGAGAGCTTTCTGTAAAACTCATCTTTTACATCATCTGAGCTGCAGTCAGTGGGAGAATAGGCAGAAACGACGAAGAGACAACGATGTGTGTCCCTATCTTTTCGGATCCTTACTGTTCCGTTTAGTCGGACAGCGCACAAACGACTGTCTACTGGGATCCAGTCTGAGAGAGCTAGTTCTGCCCTAGGACTCAATGCTATGCCTATGCCAGCGAGGCCACGGGAAGCAGAATCAGGGCTTCCAGATACACGAATCGAGTCGGTTCTTTATTTTGGCATGGTGAGGTCAGATGAATGACGCTACTCGGATCCTGTATGCGCGTTTCAGAGACGCAGCACATGTCGATGGCGCGAGATTCTAAAGCCCTAGCTAAGGAAGCCTGTTGTCCTATTTGGCACAGTGTTCGGAATTTAAAAGCTTCTACGTGTAGTTTAGAGCGTGGTTTCAGGAGACCAGGAATAGCGTTCCGCGTACTCGAATCGTTTGCCCTACCGGTGCGAGATGATAAAGAGACGTGAGGAGGGTTAGTCATGGAGATAAGAGAGGTATTAGGAGGTGTAGGAAGGATTTGAATGTGACCAACTTGGTTTCGTGCGCTGTTACGGGTATGAGGGCTGATATCATTTCCCGGATGCCCACACCGTGGAAGGGTATTTCTTGAGGAACCTGAAAAGGAAATTGGATTAGAGGCGGTCTCAGCGACCTGAGAGCGTGACCGCAGTGCCCAAGGGACAACTGCTTAAGGCCGGTCGCGCACGGTCTTTTTGTGGAAGGTTTTTGACGTGTTAGCTCCGTTCTTCAAAGGGCCTTACCGCCGGAGATGGAAATCCGTGAGGTAAAATGAGGTGTGACATTTTTAGGGTCGACCTTTTCTAACCTCACCCCTCCTTGTGGGAAGGCAGCATCGCTGTCATGCTGGTTGTCTGAGGGAAACACCTTACTGCTGTCACACCTCTCTACAGTCAGCAGTACGACTTCGCCCTCAAACCTTGAGTTGCTGCTTTTAGTCTTACCGTTCACCAATCGACCTGCCTGGCATGGTAGAACTTACAGGAACATATGTTCCAGCCAATATAGCTCGGTTGGGTCATCACGATAGTCAAGCCCGACCACTGCGTCAAGGTAGCAGCTTCGGTCGGGAGAGGTTTAATCGATTAAATAGTGAAGCAACGTTAGGAGATGCGATTCCAAGGTAGCCAGTGACCAAGGATAGGTTCATACTCCATTTGTTTCCTTAGTATCCTGGAGCCCATATGCGCTATTGGTTTGGAATCAGGGTTTTCCAACTCCCCTAGGTTAATCATCTGTACCTAGAATCTCGGTTTTTGGCGACGGACATTTGCTTTTCGTCCTCTCGATATCGTAAACAACACTGCCGCGATGAGGCAATGAATAGAGTTTCCCTGGAAATGATTATATGAGAACAGTTCGAAAGATAAAGCGGGCTCTCCTCACCATCGGCTGTACTAGGGCATTTGAAGGCACATAATAATTGGCGAAGATATTACCACAATCACTTAAAAACATTTTAGGATCAGATGGATGTAATTATAGACCGAAGTCACTACATTTCTGACCACCACAGATTATTAACGACAGCAAAAAGTGGATATAGTAATTTTAGTTGAAACGCGTTAATAAAACTAAAGATGTAGGGGAACTCAACATTACTCAGAGATCTACCATAAGTAAACAATACTTCAAAAAAGTCTGTTATCAAGTACTTGCAGTTTGCGCATATTTTCTACGTTCGAGACCATGTTACCTATCTGTGAAATGATGTAGTTTAAACTGATACGTAGTATACTCAACACTTCGAAATGGATGGGACTTACACCGGTGACACAAGTCACCAAAATCTAAACAAAATCACTGAAACTCTATTTCACTTGTGTTAGCTAGGAATTCATTTGGATTAGTGAGAGTTCAAAGATAAATGAAACAATCAACTTACTAGCCTAATTCACTTCCTGTAGTGGCACATGTCATTTACACAAATCAGTTCCGACAAAAAGAACATACTAGTTTCCATTAGATTTCTTTGATAACATACTGAAGTTGATAAAATGTCATTATGGATCATCCAGTCAATCCTCTATCATACAACATTTACTATATACAAAAATGATTTTTTTTATAAACACACAACAGCTTTTATTTTTAGCCTATTTTGAGAAGATGCAAGACAAACTTAACCAGATTCGTGAAGCTCGTGAGGCTTTGGATGCATTAAGACATGATCACGCTGTTCGCAAACAAATAGAAGAGCAAGAAGCTGCTCGTATGCGTCAGTTACAGATAATGCAGAAATTGGAAGCTATGCGACAACAGAAAAGAGTAGGTTTTACATGTTTACATATCGTGTCATTGTACAACTACCAAAATGTTTTTCCCAGTAATTAATCTGACTATGAAAGGTTAACATTTTCTAAATAACTAACATATATCATATAAAATAGTAAGACAGTAATATCATGTCTCTTTAAGATTATAGTTCTGTGAAGTGAGCTCTCCTTTTTGTTGGTCATGTCTACCAACATTCAGTCAACCTCGGGAATATCAATTCATAGGTAATAGCTAAAGTCGTTGTTACAACTCAGTATGTGACAATTACCAATAAATTTAACGAAATCCTGTCGCACTAATGACTCCATTCTTAATCAGTTCTGCTCAGTAACAAATACCAGAAAAAAGCTTTTAAACATACACAGATATATACCAGTCAAGATTTCGATCATCAGAAATTTACACACATAAGTACTTACCTATTAAATGAACTAGCTGCATTGTTATAATTTGTGTAGCTTGGTTGGGGTCCAATACAAAGAAACGAGAAATTATTGTAATACAACGGTGTATCTGGTGTGACTAAATAGATCGAATGGCTAATACATGGTACTCCAACGATAATAGCTTCACACGAGTAAAAAACGAGCTTTTTGCCTTGAGCAAAGACAGTAAAACGAGTAACATCATAGTATACATAGTATTATACATGTTTTTGCAATCAGTAGTAATCTATGTGAACCATATAACATTTTCACGTCGCAAGATTCACAATATTAGTTGTTGCACCATTACTAACTGCTTATAATAATACTGACTTGTATCAACCATATCCATACCTTCATCGGTTTAGGATTTCAGCGACAGCCTCTAAAAAATATGCACTTTGTTGATCTGTCAACTCTTAAACTTGTTCAGCTTTCTGGAAATTGTAACATCTAGTAACAAGCATGAAGTGGTGTTTACTATATCTACTTATTCTCTGATCTACATTGGAAATGCTTCTAATTTAGCGTTGTACTTTTAATATCGATTAGAATAGACTACTACCAGGATGTGTTTTTTTAGAAATCTTTAGGAAAATTAATCTCCTTAAAATTTTGTAAAAATCCTGAAATGATGTACTTAAAGCAGATCGGTGTGATTTTGCACTTCTACAGTGTCATTATATACCGTAATATACGAACCTTCTAACCGATACTTATATAACGAGATCTTTTCTGGTAGTCAACAAACGATCTGATCAATTACCAGGAAGTTTAGTTGGTCTTCATAGTCTTTCTTCACACTTGCTTTTAACTGCATCTTATTCTTTTCATGATCTTTTAATTAAAGCCTGTTAAATATTAAAATTTTCACATAGGACACTTTGGAGTACAAATTACGCATGACACTAAAACAAAATATGCAGTACCAACAAGAATACGGAATGCCACATCAGCCCTTACCGTACGGCGTCGATTCATTTCCTAGTGTACAAACTGTTGCACCTGGAGAAGGTTACCCAACCAATTATACTTTGCCTTATATATCTGGAATTAATTACGCATCATTTCCACCTATTCCGAACGGTTACCTACCAAGAGACAATAGGGTTTATGCCCCACAATTTCCAGATCCGAATTCACTTGTCCCCACTCAAAATGGTGCTAGTAGACCTAGTTATAACATGTCATACACACCACAATTTCATTCATATGTTCCCGATCCAGTTGGCCATAATATCCAAACACATCCTTCGCTTTCTCAAGGAAACCAAAATCCAGTTCCACCTGGCTCATTTTCGATGCAAAGTACGTACCTTCTACATATCCGTTCATAAATGTATTGTGACAATTGATATATACATATGTATGGTTCCTCACATAAGATTGATATACTAAATAGTACAGACTATATCTCGTTGATAATCGGTTCGGATGTTTAGTTAATTTAATGTATTTTAGCTCCATTGCTCCCGTATCACTTCATAATTTATGCATGCAATCGCATGTTATGCGTATACGGACAACAGATATCGTGATGATTTTATGGTCACTTCAAAATATAAGTTCAGCGGAGTCCACTTTGCGACTAATATATTTCCACCGTATGAGGCTTTGCTCTGACGCGTGCTTCTGATTTTTAGGGTATTGGATAATGATATTTATTAGAAATAGTAATTAAACTTTATTCAACCCATAATAAATAATTGTGATCACATTTATCCTCCGAGATACTAATAAGG